AATCCCTGCTCCGGCTGGCAGCAAAGGTTGCACTCTCAGAACTGCAAGGAGAAACAAGGCGATTTTTCTTACCCCAACAATTCGGCGTGGCAGTCCCAGGCGGGGCCGAGTTCGTTATCCACGCAGTTAGAGACCTCACCACTTCACATCCATCAAGCCTAGTCCTCCAACTCGACATCGAAAACGCATTCAACTCCGTAGAGAGGATAGCGTTCTTTAACGCACTCACCAACACCCCGCTCGCCCCACTCATTCCCTTCACACGCTCCTTCTATGCGACGCCTTCACAGCTGCTGACCGATCCCCGCTTAAGCACAACGGCACTCACCAGTGCTAGGGGAGTTAGGCAGGGGGACCCCCTTGGACCCCTTCTATTCGCGGCTTCAATCCAGCAGCACCTCAGACGCGTAGCAACAGAACACCCCGAAGTCACAGTCCTAGCATACGCAGATGACATCACCCTGATTGGACCGGCGACAGCAACGCTAGACGCACTAAAGGTACTGACACCGCTGCTAGCCCAGGACGGCCTCACCTGCAACCTCCGAAAATCGTCGGCCTGGTCCTCCTCGCCGATCGAAGGTAATGAGCTCCCTGAGGGCCTTCCCCTCACCCACGAGGGGGTACGGGTGCTAGGAAGCCCTGTGGGGTCACAGCGCTTCTGCGCTGACCTCGTCCGCAGTACCTTGACTGACGCGGCGGCACCCCTGGGCTCCTTAGCATCCATCCATCCACAGCATACCCTCCTGCTCCTATCTCGCTGCATCAGCCGCAGAATAGGCTTCCTGCTGCGCACCACCTCGGCAGACGCCCTACCTCTCTCAGAATGGCATACGTGGTGCGCCGAACTGCTCAACACTGCCTTAACCGCCGCCAGCATCCAACCACCCCGCCATGACACAGAGTTCAACTTCCTACTTCGCCAAGCAACCCTCCCAGTAGCCCTGGGTGGGCTAGGCCTCACGGACCCCACAACAGAAGCAGCACCAGCCTACCTGGCTTCGACAACAGAGGCGCTACGCCTACTCCGCTCACTTGACCTCCCAGGAACCTCGGCGCTAGGGAGCAACAGCAACGCTCTACAGCCGTCGGCAGCACACTCGGTCACCATCCAAGACATGGAGGGACGACTGCCACCACTGGCACTGCAAATCCTCCGCGGGGAACAGGAATCCCCGTCCCAAGACCAGCTGCAGCGCGCCCTTTCCCAGGAAGTACATGCGGCAAAAGCCGACCGCCTGACAGAGGAATCACGCGCAATCAGGTCTGCCCCCGAGATGGGGCACACACTCCGCCTCGTCAGCCTGAGAGGTGAGGGAGCGAGGGCATGGCTGCAGGCCCTACCCCTAACCCCAGATCTCTGCTTTTCACCAGGGCAATTCCGAACAGCCCTGGCCTTCCGCATGGGCATCCGACAGAACGTACCCACCGTGTGCGAGTGTGGAGAGCTCGTAGCCGACTGCAGCCTCCCCAACCACTTACTCCGCTGCAGCACAGGCCCTGACCGAACACGCACACACAACCAGCTGGCTTTCGCCGTGGCTAAAATGGCGAGGGAGGCACAGCTGGTGGTATACCTGGAGAACGCCATGTACTCACCACCGGATGACCCGAAGAAGGCAGATGTGATTGTACGCGACCCAGACAGTGGTGAAACTTGGATCACAGACACGACCATCACTGACCCCGTGCTACAGAACCGTGACCCAGCAGCCCGCAAACCCCCTGGATGGGCTGCAAGGGAGGCTCAGAAAAGGAAGGAACGGGACTACTACAGGCACACAGAACACGTGGTGTTCTGCGCCCTAGCCGTTGAGACCTATGGGGCAAACGCACCCCCCACGACGGCGTTCCTGAAGCTGCTGGCCACAGCAACAGCTAGGAACCGCTTCAGGGCCAATCCCTTGGCGAAAACCGCCAAGAAAATGGCCTGCCACTTCAGCCAGCGCTGGTCAGTGGCCCTCCAGCGCTCTCAAGCGAATGCCCTGCACACCAAGGCCAGGGCAGGGATCGAGGCGGCGCACCCCCAGATGGCAGCAGACCCATGGCCGCTGCACCTGGGGGACATCCTCCACACGCTGGAGGGGTAGAGGGTCACTGAGGGGGGGGGAGGGTCAGAGGGGTGGGCCAATGGGGCAGAGGGTCTAAAGGGAACCACAAATCAAACCGTATGCCTGTACCGCCGCTGAATTAATACAAAGGACCATTTGAGAGAGAGAGAGAGAGAGAGAGAGAGAGAGAGAGAGAGAGAGAGAGAGAGAGAGAGAGAGAGAGAGAGAGAGTTGAAAGGAACTTCTGTGCACACCATGCGAGATCCAGACATAGCTCAGTGAGCTGCGTGCGTGCAGTAGGCTTAAAGCAAAGGAAAAACATCTCGCGTGGAACTTCTGTGCACACCATCCACACATCCGTCCGTGGGAGTGGATTCGCGATCTGTTTGTGGGTGCTTTCAGTGCCCCCTAGTTCGTCTAGCCTCGTGCCACACGTACCGTACCCCACGGCTGTAATCGCCATAGCCCTGCCCCCTTCCTCCCGCCTCCCCCCGTCACCGCACCTCATCACCACCCCCGTCACCGCACCTCATCACCACCCCCGTCACGCACCTCATCACCACCCCCGTCACGGCACCTCATCACCACCCCCGTCACCGCACCTCATCACCACCCCCGTCACCGCACCTCATCACCACCCCCGTCACCGCACCTCATCACCACCCCTGTCACCGCACCTCATCACCACCCCCGTCACGGCACCTCATCACCACCCCCGTCACCGCACCTCATCACCACCCCCGTCACGCACCTCATCACCACCCCCGTCACGCACCTCATCACCACCCCCGTCACGCACCTCATCACCACCCCCGTCACGCACCTCATCACCACCCCCGTCACGCACCTCATCACCACCCCCGTCACCGCACCTCATCACCACCCCCGTCACGCACCTCATCACCACCCAAATTGATCATTGTGAATAATGATGAGGTGCGGTGTGGGCTGATGCACCTCATTCGATTCCTTTCCTGCATAAGCCCAAATACACTCGTCGGAATTATCCTCCCACCACATCATCCCTCACCTCATCATGGCCCACAGCGCGGCGGCAATCACGCCGAGAGCGATGGCGAACTCGCAAGCGTGGAACGCGGCGCTCAGAGTCGCGCCCTCCTTCTTCCGCCTCCCCATCGCGCCCTTCCGAGCCTCTTCCCGCTACTCCGCGCCCTTCTCTGCCTCCCCGCGCCGTCGCCCAACTCGCGCGCCGTCCTCGCTTGGCGCGGCGCTAATGCAGGCGCGAGTCGCGGGTGTGTTTCAGGGCTGCGGCTCGCGTTGGGCCTGAGGCAAGAGAATTTCTTGACCTCACAGATTCAACCACTTAATTTCTAATAGCCTGAGAGATAACCCAACGCAGACGACTGACTTCACGCCGAATGTCTCTCCACACTGGGTGGAATTACGTGTTGAAGTTACTACTTGTACAGTCACCATATCTCCATGTTTAAAACATAGTGCAGGGTCTGCCGAGCGCTCGCCTCGCGAGAATTATGAGCGACGAGGAAAGGGGGAACGGGAAGAGCGCAGAATGCGCGAGGATCATAGAAGGCAAGCAGGGAGAGAGAGTGTCGATGCCACAACGAGGGAGGAGTGGTTATGGCAGGGAAAGGTGAACGTGGGGAAGGAAGGCAAGAAAGGTGGTGATGAGAGTGACGACGTAACCTCGCGCTACCAAAATCTAACGTACGGAACAACGTTCGAACCACCTTCCACCTCTTTGTTTCCCCGAACCTCCAACCCAACCAACTTGCCTCCCAGAAATCTCAATTTTGCGCCGTGTACTGTTCAACCGCACAGTACTGTAGGGCCTGCAGCCACTTCTGGGCCTGTGGCTATACAGTGCAAGCGACTGTACTGTACACTTGGGGAATGCCAAGAAAAGAGCTGCCTGTTGCGTGGCTGTTGCTCAACAGCAAGCAGTCAATTTGACTTTAGCAGAAGTGTAGATAGTCACATTTCTATTGATAATATCCTAATACGGTGTATTGAAAAAAAAGTACAATACATGACGTACATCCTAGTACGGTACAGGCTAAACTCTATCATCGTATCTCTCCTCATCGTAGTCATCACCTTCATATATATCCGATTCAGCATCTAAGGACCGCTGCGGATGCGCATCACCATATAGGTTACCGTCTTCATACCCACTCTCATCATCATACATGCCCTCCAAGTCATAAACCTTGGGTGGTTCATGTGGCCGCTCATCTCTTCTCGAAGCATATCTCTCCGACTGACCTCCCTCACGCCCTGTGTGAAAAGGCTCCGAGCTTTTTCCCCCGGTTGACCGAGTGCTTCTCTTGGAGTTCCCACTCTCTGACTTGCCTCGGGGCGGTGAGCTGCGTCTTTCTTGGCTCAACCGCGTTGATTGCTTGTGCCCTGATCCGCTCTTGCTGCTATAGCTCCTTCCATGAATCATACCTGCTTCCCTGTATCTTTCCCTCTCCCTGTCCCTTTCCCTCTCCTTCTCCCTCGTCTGTTCACTCTCCATCTCCTCCTCGAAGACCCTCTCGTCCATCCGATTGTAGTACATGTCTTCATCCTCCTCCCACATTGTGTCGTCATGGAAACTGCGACTCTTAGGCATTCCATACCCCCCTTCTCGCTCCTCTATGTCAACCACAAATACATCCTTGCCTCTCCCCGCGCTTTTGGAGGTCCGGTAACTCTTTGAGCTTTGGAAACTCTGAGAGCTTCGGGAACTTTGAGAGCTTCGGGAACTTCGAGAGCTTCGGGAACTTCGGGAAGTCGGTGGATCATCCGCATAACTGCGGGTACTCGGAGAGTCATCGTAGGGGCTACCTCGGCTTCGCACGTCCTCCCGCATCCTTGTTTCTCCCCCATAACTCGCCCGCTTACCCCCTCTTTTCTCGATTTCCGTGAGAGACCTATCCAGCGCCCCTGGTGATTTATCCACATGCGTTAGTGACCGCTCATACTGCGTCACTGCTGCTGCTGCTCCCACGCTTCCATTCATCCCCATCCCAACCCCTTGGTCACCTAACTTAGTCGACAGAACCCGTTCAAACTGCCCTGGGGCCACGGTGAAGGTGTTTACTCGGCTCATAGTCCCGTTCTTCTGCAGCTTACCAGTCATAGCAGCAGCAGCAGCGGCGGCAGCGGCGGCAGCAGCATCAGCTTCTTTGGAGTCGGGGTCATCGTCCAGGCCTGTAAAGGCGGCGCAGCAGGCCATGAGGTAGAGCACGAGGAGCGCCACAGACGCGCCTAGCGCGACGAACTTGAGCAGGGAGTATTGCTGGTACAGCTGGTACAGGAAGCCGCCCTTGCAGTACTCGCACGTGTAGCACAGCGTCTGCGGCTCCATGCTGAATGCGCTGCAGTTCTGCTGGCTCCTGTTGCTGCTGCCGCCACTGGTTTGTGGGGGGTTGGAGCCTCCTGGTGCTCCGGCAGGGATGACGCTGGGAGATTGCGGAGCGGTGGAAACGTCGCTTGTGAAGGAGTAGTACGTGGGCCTGTAGGTTCGGTTTTGACAGCCTTGCGGGGGAAGGCAGCAGCCGGCCTGCCATGGGAACCAACCGGAAGGCACAATAAGGATGTGGCGATGGAAAATGGGCGAAATGTGCGATTGAATTTCCTCATCGCCGCGTCCCCTCAGGAAAGGATCCCGCTGCCTCATACTCACTTGCTGGAAAGACCTTATGGGAGTGTTACCTCGATGGGTGGGAGCAGCGTCCCGTTGAGCGCAGCGGGCGCGTACACGCGGAGGTCCGCGCACGTGCGGCGGCGCGCGAGGCACGTCTGAATTGCGGGCCACGTGGCGTTTGCCACCTGCGCCTGCATCCACGGCGAGAAGCCCCACGTGATGTACACCGTCTGGTTGCGACTCGTTATAGGCGCCGGCGCCCCTCCCGTTACAAGAAAGGCGAAGACTGCGGAGGTGAGGGCAGGGAGGACAGAGAGCGAGAGAAGGGAAAGGGAACATATTATGATGGCCGACCAGTGGGATTGGCGAGCACGGTACGATCACGTCGAGGCGCGCACACTATGGCATACCAGGGGTCAAACGAACCGTCGCAGGGCTCATGTCAGCACTGACACCCAATAACATTCATTGTCAACGGCTTCAGGTGGTGGAGATGTTAGTGAGAGCGGTGCTCACTGGTGAAGGCTGTGGACGCGAGCACGGCAATAAGCGCGACGACGAGGTAGAGGCACGAGAGCGAGTTCGAGTCACATGCGAGCCCGCAGAAGCCGACGAGCGCCGCGAGCAGCAGCGCAGCGCCGACGACGATGACGGGGAGTTGGTAGGGGAGCAGGCACTCGCCGTACGTGGCGTCGAGCAGCATCCACAACGCGACGCCCACGAGCCCCAACCCGATGACCGCCAGCGCGCCGTTCACAAACGCGCCGAGCGCCTTGTTCGTCCTCATCGGAAAAAAACGTCCTCTAACGGCGCCTGGGAAAAAACAATGGTACTAGGAGGCGACTGATGAAGACGGTCCGATTTAGAATGTCTGTTACTGGGCGGTCCGTCACAGGCTGGCTTGAACGCAACGCGCGTCGGAGTCGTGGCTAAACGCTACCCGTATACTACCCTTGTGTGTAGTCCGTGCTGAAGCTACCAGTGGCGGATATGGTTCTTACGAAAAAGTTATGCATGTGGCACAGCACCTAGTGGGACAGTAGTCGTACGAATACTAAGTGGTACATGTTGGACAGTCGTGACTCGGGTAAAGAGGACTAGATCCCTCGGACAAAGAGAGTCGATTAGGCTTCGTTTGTCGCTTGGAGCTAGCCCTAGGAGGAACCAAAGCTCGCGAGTTGGGTGTCTGGCTCAAGGAAGTCAGTTTCCAGAAGGGAGAAAAGAAGGGAAGGGGAGGGGAGGCGGGGTGTGGAGGAGCATCACGAATATCTGAGTAGGCTTGTACAGTACAGCGGGAAGGTGGTGCCGCGAAGCAGGAGCAGCACACGCACCACACGAAGCACACACAGCAGGTGGCGAGACGTGAAGCACGGGATTTGAGAAACCAAAAAATGTTGGCAAGAAAGATGGCGAGTGTTGGGCGAGAGAGGGAGCAAGAGGGGGCCAAAGCTTGAAAATGCGGCTCGTTATGCGCGACTCGCGAGTGGTGCATGTGGTTCCCGTGTTATGCGGCTCGCAGTGCTGACCAGGGATACCTGTAGATATGATAAATAATGTGAATAAACCACACGGAATACTGAACTCTAAAAATATTGTTACAGATTTCCTACCCTTTCTCCATCAATGGTGGATTCTAGCATTGGGTCACCCTGCGACATTGCCTTGATGATGTGGGAACCATGGTGGTGTGCCGACAGACCCCATGGATGCATAGCTGTGACACGGGGTGAGTAGAATTTAGCAGGCGTATTGACGTCTGTTCCTGTGAGGTAAATAACATCGGTTAATGCGTGACCGTCCCACTCTCTTGGATGCTCCAAGGCATGCAGCATCATTGGTACTGCCACCTGCAAAAGATAAAACCACATGAATCAGGAGAGAGGTCTGGAACCAAAACGACTAGTAGAAGGCGCTTCCAAGGGGCCAAAAAAGTGCCAAAAAGATTTGGGTATTTGATGTTAGAGCAGAGAAAACCCGATTGAAAGGATGGGTGAAGCTTACATCAGCCACAATGCGATGGTCGGCAAAGATGGGGACGAGGGAGCGCATGGCAGGCGCATGGCGCTGCGGGATATAAAAGACGTCCGACGCCGCCCGCAGGAAGATGTTTGTCTTGGGGGAGATGGACTGCTGGTACTGCTGCAGGTGCTGCTGGGGAAGGTGGGAGAGTGCCTGTGGGGGGAGGTCATTGGGGGGCATGAGGAGCATGGGCGATGGACGAGAAGTGGGGGGCAGAACATGGCGAGTCAGCGGTGAAAGAGAGCATGGATTGACCAAAGACTGTACCATGTGACACAGTTTGAGACACAAAGCATCGCAAGGGCACCACACGGTATGGCATGGCAGGGAACGAGAGGTTTCACCTGGGAAACGGCCTCCTTTAGCAGCTGCAGCGCCTCCCCACTCTCCTCCACGCGCTCACTCGCGTCCTCCATGTACCTCACCGCTCCCGCCTCCTTCCCCTGCCCTCCCCACCCCCCCGCCACGCTTCCGCTGGGGTCGAGGCTGGCAATGCGCCACGACTGGTGCATGGGACCCAGGAACCAGATGCGCGACTGGTTGGGGGAGATATGGGGGAGATGGGGGTGATGGCAGTGATGGCGGTGATGGGGGTGATGGGGGTGATGGGGGAGATGGGGGAGATATGGGGGTGAAGGGGGTGAAGGGGGTGATGGGGGTGATGGGGGTGATGGGGGTGATGGGGGTGACGGGGGAGATATGGGGGTGATGGGGGTGATGGGGGTGATGGGGGGATGGTCATGGACCAGATGCCAGAGTGGGGGGATGAGTGAAGGGGAGGGAGGAAAGGGAACCGGGTTGGATGTGCATCGGAAAAGGACTGGCATTTTTATCCCGTCACCACACAACACCGCTTTACAAACAGTAGACTGTCAACCCGCACATTCTTACCACCTTACCACACCTTGTTATCGCGGCTCATGGTCCCGTAGTTGAGCACTGTGTCACCTTTGTATCTGGTTACCACACCACAGCAATACTTGGTTACCTCACCACTGTGTTACCTGGTTACCGTCTGGTTACCATCTGTTTTTTTTTTTTTTTTTGGGCTTTAAGGAGATCCCCGGAGGAAACCAAAGGTTACCATCTGGTTACCATCTGGTTACCATCTGGTTACCATCCGGTTACCATCTGGTTACCATCCGGTTACCATCCGGTTACCATCTGGTTACCATCTGGTTACCATCTGGTTACCATCTGGTTACCATCTGGTTACCATCTGGTTACCATCTGGTTACCGCACCTTGTTATCACGGCTCATGGTCCAGTAGTTTAGAACCGTGTCGTCGTCCATCCACAGAAAGCCCTCTGCCATCGGGTGCCACGTCAGCAGCTTCGGCAGCACACTGTAGTGCAGTGACCCGGGCGGCAAGTCGTGGCCGTGTCCTGTCTCCTTGACTGGGGACTGGAAGAGCAGGCAGGCGGGTAAGAGAAGGAGCCACAGAGCATTGTCAGATTCAGAGTGGTGAGGAGGGAGGAACGAGTTGTGGAGAGGGATGTATGAGGGTGGTGAGTGAGTGAAATTCCTCAAACATAGCGACGGCAAGTCATGGCCCTGCCCCGCGCCCCTGTAACTTCCACCTCTCTTTCCCTTTCCCACCAAGCTCTTTCTCTCTCCTTAACCTCCTCCCACCCTTCCACCGCACCGCGCGCCCAGATCAGCGTCGCCAAACTCAGAGCTAGTGAGGAAGCGCTAGAAGAGGGAGCCGTAGAGCGACTGCAATCCCTTGCGCCCCTCCCCACCCCTCCCCACCCCACCCACCACATGGTGCACGCACCTCGAGAACCCCCAAGTCGGCGTCGCCAAACTCAGAGACAGCAAGGATGCGTTGGAAGAGCGAGCCGTAGAGCGAGTGCAGGAGGTCAAGCGTGACGGGCATCTGCTGGGGGCGCTTGTAGTTCACAATGAGGACGATGTTGCGGTAGAACTGCTGCCACCGCCGCTGGTTTATCAGATCCGTTGGCTTCGCTTTGCGCCGCTTGCGCACAGTCTGGGAGGGAGGGAGTGGGAGGAGGGATGATTGGGGTGGAGAGATGAGATTTGACATGTTTTGGACATTGAGCAATCGGCATTCAGCACTGAGCTTTATGCATTGGGCATCGTCCAGGAAAGCGACAAAGCTGCAGAAAACATGTCAAATCTCATTTGACACACCAGCCGTTCTATCCATGCCCTGAGGAGCGTCAATGCATGACACGACATGGTATGGCATGGTGGCATGGCATGATGGTATGACTAACCTTGGGAGGAGGAGGAGGGGATGCGGGAGGGGCAGCTGCAAGAGAAGAGGGCAGAAAAGGAGAAAAAGAGCACACAGCTATGAATGGCACTAAATTCAGATTTACATGCGTGATCACAATCAACGGAGTGCACACAGGAAGTGGGTACGGAAATGCATGGATTGTGGTGGTAGCATGGATTGTGGTGGTAGCATGGATTGTGGTGGTAGCATGGAGAGAGCATGGGCCATACCATGGAGGTGCATGCGTCATACCATGGAGAGAGCATGGGCCATACCATGGAGAGAGCATGGGCCATACCATGGAGATGCATGGGATTTGCAGGGTTCATCTCTTTCTCCGCCTCCTTTGCAGCACCGTCACCTGCTGCTGCCGCTGCTGCTGCTGCCCCACTCCCCCCACCACTCGCCCCACTCCCCCCAGCAGCACCAGCAGCAGCATTGGAGTTGGCTAGCGCGCTGGCCAGTTGCTGATGTCGCCATGACAGCGAGGCCACCTGGAAGAGGAGAGGGGAGAAGAGAGAGGAGAGGGGAGAGAGGAGCGAGGAAAAATGAGAGATGAGCGAGGAGAGATGAGAGAGGAGAGAGGAGTGTGAAGGGCGAGGAGGTAGGAGAGAGAAGAGATAACAGCATGAGGGGTTGCTGCAGTAATGCTCACACACATCCCTACAGCACCACACATACCCACAGCACCGCACACATACTCACAGCACCGCACACATACTCACAGCACCGCACACATGCCCACAGCACCGTGCACATACCCAGAGCACCACAGCGAGCACGGAGAGCAGCACGAGCGCCAAGCACGCAGCGCACAGCAGCAGCAGCGCCCGCACCGGCAGCACCACCCCGCCCTCCCGCGCACCCGCCTTGCGCCTCCGCGCCTGATGTGCGGGCGGGCGCGGAAGAGGGGAGGGGAGGGGAGAGAGCATTGGGGGAGATTGGGGAGGAGGGGGAAAGAGAGTGTTGAGCGGTACTGGCGGAAGGGGGAGATTCGGCTTGCGCGGAGGGGCGTGGAACGAAGAATGGAGCGACGAGGGCGACAATGCGGCGTGCGCGTGCCGCGGAGCGGAGGGGAGGGGAGGGAGAGCGGCACGGATGGAAGAGAGCAGGCGGGAGGGCGGGAGGAACGGCGGAAGGGAGGGCGGGAGAAAGTGAGGGCGAGTGGGGATCGGAGCGAGCGCGACTCACGGAGGGTCGTCTGCCGGAGGCGCGGGAGAGGCCGAGGAGGTTCAGGCCTGCCATGCTGGCGGGGCGTGCGAACACGGTTACCACGTATCAGCCGTCGCGGGCGTGCAGACAATGCAGGCGATGCTGCGCGCTGCTTCCGAACTCTGCTGCGGACCGCGGGGAGCTGCGACTGTGGCGCGATACGCACGGGCACCGGATGGCGGAATCGCGACGAGGGCGGAGGAATGTGCTGGCGCAAGGTTGCAGCCCTGAGGCCCTAGGCGGCAGTCCAGTGAAGCCGATCGACAGCAGCTATCGGCATTACCTTTATGCGTTAGCTATCGGAAGCGTCAGACGCATTGACGCCTAGTCGCCTCGAGATCGCCGTGGCACGCCATTGGTGGCGCGGAATCCGGAATGACAGTCGCTGCTGTTGCTGGTGGTGGTGACAATTGTGGTCCCCACTCATCATTGTTGTGATACGCGCTAAGAACAGCCTCAGTGGTTGGCACGGTGACCAGAACCAGGACCATCGCACAAGCATCCAACCCGCGGGTGCACCGTGTTTGTAATTTCTCTTAGAAATCAATGTACGCTGAGGATTTTATCTGATTTAATGAAGCTGAGTTAAATACATAAATGAAAATCATGGATCTGAGCTCATTTCAAGCCGGCACCACAACCTGCCCTTCCATACCTCCCTCCCCCTCTGTCACACTACTGCTGCTACTGGTGGTTGTGGTTGTGGGAGACCCGCTCCCACTCCCTGCTGCTTCGGCCGCACCTGCTGCCTCGGCGACTCTGGCTCGCATGAGGTTGCTGGAGTAACCATAGCCCAGCGATGACCCACTCAGTGCGGATAGCTGTGTCGAGGAGGGCAGAGGATGGGGCGTGGAGCAGAAGATGAGGAGAGGAAGAGGAAAGGAAGAGGAGAGGAAGAGGAGAGGAAGAGGAGAGGAGGAGGAGAGGAAGAGGAGAGGAAGAGAGGAAGAGACGCAGAGTGCAGGAGTAGGAGGAGCTAGGGAGAAAGAAGACAAACATTATGCTGGATCTACAGGACGGCCCAATAGCCCCAAGAAACACAGGGTAATCACTTCAATAATATCTGCCACGTGTCTCACCTCCGTCAGCTCTGCCAGGTGTCGCGTTCTGAAGTCGTCCAGCGTGGCGGCTATCTCCGCTGCTGGCAGCTTCGCCTGGAGGAACAGGCATGGAAGTGAAGGGAGGGAGGGAGGAGCGGAGGTGTGAGGGAGAGACAGGAGGGATGGGGGAAGAAATGAGAGGAGGAAGAGAGGTCGTTGCGGCTCCATTCATCTATCTGGGCAAGCATGGCAACCACAAGCTCCAGCCTCCACAATTCTCACTCGTTCTTTGAAGCGCCTCAAAACTCGAATCAAGCCAACCTGTGCGAGCACGGCAGCAGCGAGTTGCAGGCTGGGTTCAAGCGTCTCAGGAACGACAGCAGTAGCACCGGCCTTCTTGAGGTTGATCCCATGAGTCACATCGTGCTGCCGTGGTACTAGTGTGACTTCAGCCCACGTACCTAGGCGAGCACAGCGGCAGCGAGCTGCAGGCTGGGCTCCAGTGTCTCAGGAACGACAGCGGTGGCGCCAGCCTTCTCCAGGTTGATCCCGTGGGTCACGTCGTGTGCTCGCACAAACGTCTTCACGTGTGGGAAGCTTCTTTTCTACACCACCCCTGTGTGCACCCCTACCTGGGCGAGAACAGCCGCGGCGAGCTGCAGGCTGGGTTCGAGTGTCTCAGGGACAACGGCGGTAGCCCCTGCCTTCTCCAGGTTGATCCCGTGGGTCACGTCGTGTGCTCGCACAAACGTCTTCACGTGTGGGAAGCTCTTGCTGAGCGCCCACACTGCCCTGTAGTTGGCTCCTGGCGTGTCGAGAGTGATCACTGCTGCTGCTGCCCTCTCCGCCCCCACCTTGTGCAGCACCTGAGGGGGATGGGGGAGGAGGGGGTCGGAGTGGGTTGGAGGAGGGGGGAGAGGTGGGGGGGAAGGGAGGGAAAGCTCTTGGTGAGCGCCCACACGGCGCGGTAGTTGGCTCCCGGCGTGTCGAGAGTGATCATTGCTGCTGCTGCCCTCTCCGCCCCCACCTTGTGCAACACCTGGGGCGGGGGGGGCAAAGGTTTGGGAGCAGGGAAGAAAGGAAGGGGGAAAGTAGGGAAAGAAGGCAGGAGGGGGTTACAAGACTTAGCAGAGGAAGTAGGGGAGAAGTAGGTAGAAGTATAAGGAAGAAGGGGGGAGGAGGAAGGGATGGGGGATAATTGGAGATGCTGACGCATGGAAAAGCACATGGAAAGGTGGGAATCGTATGGGAGGGCGGCACTCACATCGCGGCTGCCAGCATCGCCAAAGTAGACGGGAAGGTCGAGGGAACGCCCTGCGCTGACCCGATCGCTGCTCACGTCCAGCGCCACGAAGGGGATGAGGCGCTCCGATAGCAGCTGCCCTATGATCTGATGCGGGTGATGGGGGAAGAAGATGGAGGGGAGGAGATGGGTGTGAGCGACTGGTGTGAGGGATGGGTGTGAGGGCTTTTGAGGCGCCTCAAAAGTCGTCCAGCGCCACAAAGGGGATCAGGCGCTCTGATAGCAGCTGCCCTGTTATCTGATAAACACAGGGGGGGTGGGGGGAAGATGGGTGAGAGTGGTGTGCGGGATGATGTGGATGGGTGTGAGGGATGATGTGGATGGGTGTGCGGGATGATGTGGATGGGTGTGCGGGATGATGTGGATGGGTGTGCGGGATGATGTGGATGGGTGTGCGGGATGATGTGGATGGGTGTGCGGGATGATGTGGATGGGTGTGCGGGATGATGTGGATGGGTGTGCGGGATGATGTGGATGGGTGTGCGGGATGATGTGGATGGGTGTGCGGGATGATGTGGATGGGTGTGCGGGATGATGTGGATGGGTGTGCGGGATGATGTGGATGGGTGTGCGGGATGATGTGGATGGGTGTGCGGGATGATGTGGATGGGTGTGCGGGATGATGTGGATGGGTGTGCGGGATGATGTGGATGGGTGTGCGGGATGATGTGGATGGGTGTGCGGGATGATGTGGATGGGTGTGCGGGATGATGTGGATGGGTGTGCGGGATGATGTGGATGGGTGTGCGGGATGATGTGGATGGGTGTGCGGGATGATGTGGATGGGTGTGCGGGATGATGTGGATGGGTGTGCGGGATGATGTGGATGGGTGTGCGGGATGATGTGGATGGGTGTGCGGGATGATGTGGATGGGTGTGCGGGATGATGTGGATGGGTGTGCGGGATGATGTGGATGGGTGTGCGGGATGATGTGGATGGGTGTGCGGGATGATGTGGATGGGTGTGCGGGATGATGTGGATGGGTGTGCGGGATGATGTGGATGGGTGTGCGGGATGATGTGGATGGGTGTGCGGGATGATGTGGATGGGTGTGAGGGATGATGTGGATGGGTGTGCGGGATGATGTGGATGGGTGTGAGGGATGATGTGGATGGGTGTGCGGGATGATGTGGATGGGTGTGCGGGATGATGTGGATGGGTGTGCGGGATGATGTGGATGGGTGTGCGGAAGGGAGTGATTTGAGAAGCGCTTACAAGCAGATAGAAACGATGGCATAGGAAAGCAGATAGAAACGATGGCATAGGAAAGCAGATAGAAACGATGGCATAGGAAAGCAGATAGAAACGATGGCATAGGAAAGCAGATAGAAACGATGGCATAGGAAAGCAGATAGAAACGATGGCATAGAAACGATGGCATAGAAACGATGGCATAGGAAAGCAGATAGAAACGATGGCATAGAAACGATGGCATAGGAAAGCAGATAGAAACGATGGCATAGAAACGATGGCATAGAAACGATGGCATAGGAAAGCAGATAGAAACGATGGCATAGGAAAGCAGATAGAAACGATGGCATAGGAAAGCAGATAGAAACGATGGCATAGGAAAGCAGATAGAAACGATGGCATAGAAACGATGGCATAGGAAAGCTCATGTCTCTATCTCACGTTTCCAGCGAGCGCAGCTGGCAGGCACAACGGAAGTCAACATGGCAATGACACAAGGCTCACCTGACCCACACGGCCAAAGCCACAGATGATGATGTGACCCTGCAGATCGTCCGTCTGATGTGCGTTGGTAGGGAGAGAGGAAAGGAAAAGAGATAGAGAGCAAGAGGGGGGGTGAATGGCTGAATGAGATGGTGGGGTGAGAGAAGTCCAACAAAACTCAACTGGAAATCGGATTGAGTAAGGGTGAAGCAACGGTAAGAGGGAGCAGCCTTTGTAAGACGGCAATTCACCTCGGCCTCGTGTGGCTGCACCTCTCTCTCACCTCGGCCTCATGTGGCTGCAGCGAGCGCACGTCCTGCTGGTCGAAGCGCGACGCGATGAGCTGTCCCACCGCTGCCAGCCATGGCGTGATGGCCATGCTCAGCCCCACCACTATGAAGAGCAGCGAGCACAGCTGGGCGCTCATGATGCCCTGTGGTGGGAATGGAATGGGGATGCAGGAGAGACGACAGGAATGGGCGAGCCATGGCGTGATGGCCATGCTGAGCCTCACCACTATGAAGAGCAGCGAGGAGAGCTGTGCGCTCATTATGCCCTGTGAGGGATGGGGATGGGGAGGGGGAAGGGACGGGGGAGGAGGAGAGGGATGGGGATGGGAAGAGATGAAGGGATGGAAGGGAGAGAGGAGTGGAGGGGAGAGCTGTGAGCGTAAAGAGCAGGGTGAGAGCGCATAACTCAGCAGGTGCACGAGGCAACACAGGGACTCCCCCTTCCCCTTTCCCGTTCCTCCCCAAACCCCGCACCTTGCTCACAGACTCCCCAAAGGCCACAAATGCAAACTCCCCTCCAGGCGCGAGCAGCAGGCCGGTGCGCACAGCAGCAACAGGGGAGAGGCCAAAGAGGCGGCCCATGCCCGCCAGCAGAGCCGTCTTGCCCACTATCAGCACTGCGAGCGCTGCCAGGATGAGCGGGAAACGCGCCACCAGCAGCTTGGGATCGATTGACATGCCCACCTGGGGGGGTTAGGGGAAGAGGGATGCGTGGTAAGGGGGGAGGGAGAGTAAGCGACTGATGGATGGGCAGCAGGCGGGCGGTAGTTAGTCACAAGGCAAGTACAAGACTAGCAGCTTGGGGCCTAGCAGCAGTGGAGTGTTGAACAGAGCATGTGGGTATGTGGGCATGAGCGTGAGGACGCAGGTGAGATGGTGCGAGGGATCGTCTGGGCACGGTCTCTGTTGCTGGGGAGAATGCGCGCAGGCGCATTTTTGAGGCGCCTCAGAAGCCTTTTAATGGCGTGGACGCATGTGCTTCATGTGCTTCATGTGCTGGCAAGCGCATGTGTGCAACGTACAGTCATGAAGAAGAGACCCAGCAGCAGCCCGCGGTAGGGGTTGATGTCTGACTCCACCTGTGAGAGGGACGGGGAGGTGGAGCGCGACAGGCGGGAGGAGGAGGGCAGCAAGAAACGGAGAGGTAAGGCCAGATAGGAAGGAGGCTGGGGGGCCACTAGGCGGAGAGTGGTGAAAACACGGAGGCGCATGAGCTGGTGGGGGCAGCAGAGCAATGTTTCAGTGACAGGGAGACATGGCAAGTTGGCAGGTGAATCAATCTCCACCCAGTGCAATCCCGTGTGTTCCGTCCCCATGACTTGGTCGTTATTTTACAGCTCACCACACATCGTCCTCCCACGCACCTGCAGGGCGAACTCGGTCTCTGACAGCAGCAGGCCTGCGAGGAACGCTCCCAGTGCCATGGACAGCCCCGCCTGGCATGGATGGATGCGCACGGGGGTGAGATAAGAGTTCAAGCATGGCAAGCAGGGAAGGTAAGGGCTGCGAGCATGGCAGATAATGAGTGATAAGCTTGGAGGGAGACAGTGCCCTCCTGACCCTGACACCAGCACCTCCTCCTCTCATCCCCTCCCTCACCAACCACCCATTCTGACCACCCTGCCCACTACCTCACCCTCGCTGCACCCGCATACCCACAAAGCAAAACCCCCCCTCACCCGGGCAGTGAGTACGGAGGTGCCAAGCACAACGAGCAGTGTGTTGGCGGCAAAGATCTCCGCGTTGTGATTCTCTGCCATGCTGCGGTATATGGGGCGCAGCAGCTGGGGGGAAAGGGGGTGTGTGAGGGGGTGAGAGGGGGTGAGAGGGGCCATGGGTTTAGCATGTCAGCGTTGTGGTTCTCCGCCATGCTGCGGCACATGGGGCGCAGCAGGTGGAAAGGATGGGAGGGGAGGGGGTGGTGTGGGTTGAAAGTGGGGACTGGAAAAACAATGGGGGTTGATCATGGTTCTCCTGACAGCACTCTTTAAGATTTCCCAAAACCCTCAGGCAGCCCCAACCTCCAGCAGCAGCACTCACCAGTCGGCCGCCCGCAATGATGCCAGCAATGGCGATGACGATGACAGCCTTCACTGCCGCCACTCCCAGCAGCAGCACCCACCTGCCGACCCCAACCCCAGCAGCACTCACTCATTCATCTGCCAGCCCCAACCGCCCCGCAGCACTCACCAGTCGGCCGCCCGCGATGATGCCAGCAATGGCGATGACAGCCTTCACTGCCGCCACCCCTAGCGCCTCCGCTATCGCCTTGAATCCCACGCCCTGGTGAAAGTCAAACAAGGATAGAGGGAGTGAGACGAGCACAATTGGTGCAGGAGAGCTGAGTTTTGAGTCGACTCAAAAGTCAACCCCACGCCCTGGTGGGCATTGAACAAGGATAGAGGGAGATGAGCATGATTGGTGCAGGAGAGGAAAGGCCGACACTGGAAATGAGTACAGCAGTACTAGACATGTGAGGCGATGGGAACGGGGGAGTGAAGATAAGTTAACTGATGAGATCATTGTCGTATAGTATGTATGTAGGAGGGAACACGTGTGGGCGGATTGGAGTGTGAGATGAGCAGAGAGAGAGGAGAGGAGGAAGTGAGGGGAGGAGCGACTCACCCCTCCGGAGGAGTTGGGGGAGAGAAGCGGAATGAGGATGAGCAACACCACCACTGCTAGATCCTGTGGCATGGCGCATGGGGCATGGGGCATGGGGGGGCATGAGAGGAAAGGAAGCGTTACCAAACAGAGGGTGTTGGGAAAGATGGGTTGGGATGGGATGGGATGGGATGTTACACAAGGGCATGCGCGCCATGTCTCTGAAGCGATGGTGAAAGGACTGGTGCAGCATTGTAGAAATGGACATGAAGAGGCAGGGTGGGGGTGGAAAGGAATGAAGACATCGTGACACGAGCAGAATGGAGGCTGGGGGCGACGACAAATGCAGAGCGCAGCGTGCAGCAGAGGGCAGAATGGCATGAGGTGCACGGCAAGAAAAGACGGATGCATGTATGCATGCATGCAAGCAAGGAGGCAAGCATGCAGCGACCTGGAAGAGCAGCACGGAGAAGGTGGCTCGCCCATGGCGCGACGTGCTCTCCCCTCGCTCTTGCAGCACCTGACGGGTGGCGGGGAGGAGCAGAGGGACGTGGCGGATGGATGCGGTGTGAAGGGTGGAGGAATGGGTGGGCCGTGGGGTTGCAAGCATGTAGTCTGGCTCTCTTTTGAGTCGCTTGCTGGCTCTCTTTTGAGTCGCTTGCTGGCTCTCTTTTGAGTCGCTTGCTGGCTCTCTTTTGAGTCGCTTACTGGCTCTCTTTTGAGTCGCTTGCTGGCTCTCAAACGTTGAATTCCTTGCTGAGTCGCTTAAGAGGATCCTAAAATTGTGGCTCTTTCAAGTTTGAAAATAGAGCATGCAACAAAGGCTCAGCTGAGGCACACAACAGCAGAGACCCACCTGGAGGACAACAGCGGTGGACGAGAGTGCAAGGCCGTTGCCGATGACAATGGCTGCTGGGCCCGACACACGCGCCACTGCCAGCACACACAGCCCTATCGCCAGCGCTGACACCAGCACCTGGCAGTACCGGCCAGGAGAGAGGGGGGAGATGAGGGAGAGGAGTAAAGGTTAAGCATATGGGATGGCATAAAACAAGCCTGGAGATTGAACAGATGGGCAGAGGTGTACAATCGGGGCACGGATATTTAGGGTGCCAGAGGACATTGTGAAAAGGGGAATAGAGCATTCAGGGAAGAGAGAAGACGGGAGGGACACAGGAAGAGGGCAAGAGACAGTGGGAAACAGGGTGCGCAACAGACAGCAGGCACACACCTGAGCGGAGCCGAGTCCAAAGACATATTTGCGCATAGAGCGAAGGCGCTCCAGAGACAGCTGGTGTGGCGATCAGAATAGGGTTTTGTCAGGGAGAGAGGGACGTGGAGAAAAGCGAGCGAGTGAGAGGGTGAGGATGGAGAGAGTGAGCAAAAAGATGGCTTAAACGAGGGGGTTGACAGGCACGTGAGGATACAAGAGTAGTCCTGGAAACATAACTTTTGCAAGAGGCCTCGAAATCAATTGCATAGTCCATCGTGAAAACACAACACTGGCTGACCTCACACACACTGGTGTTGAACATGAGGAAGAGGGCGTCAAACATTCTGAGTCGACACAGCTTTGAGCTTTTGAATCGTTTCAACGGTCGTCCTTTGAATCGTCAAATCGAGTGGGCTAAAAAAGGAGCGGCAGTGACAGACCTCGAGGCCGATGTTGAACATGAGGAACACCACGCCAAACTCTGCAAGGGCCTTGGTGCCCCCACCTCCCATGCAACTAACATGGCAGCAACGTCACCCACCTCCCATGTAACTAACATGGCAGCAACGTCACCCACCTCCCATGTAACTAACATGGCAGCAACGTCACCGACCTCCCATTCAGTGCAAGCAAAAGACAGAACGAGCGAGTGAGTGAGTGACAGACCTCGAGGCCGATGTTGAACATGAGTCACCTGTTAAGGACGAGTTACCTGTTAAGGACGAGTCACCTGTTGGATCCAGGTCGAACCTGTTCTTCTTTGCTACAGCACGAGCGAGTGACAGACCTCGAGGCCGATGTTGAACATGAGGAACACCACGCCAAACTCTGCCAGCGCCTTGGTGCCATGCACATGCTTTATGATTGACAGCGCGTATGGCCCAATGAGCGCCCCCGCTGCCAGGTACCCTAGCACGGGACTGCCTGCAAACCAGGAATACAGATAGGAGGGGGAGAGGTGGGAGGGAGGGAGAGAGAGGATGAGTACTGAGCCTTGGTGCCGTGCACGCGCTTTTTGATGGAGAGTGCATACGGACCGATGAGCGCCCCCACTGCCAAGTATCCCAGCACGGGGCTGCCTGTGGTGTTGGGAGAGAGACGTAGGAGGGAGGGAGGCGTGAGGGAGAGAAGTATGAGGGAGAGAGGTCGGGCATGACAGCATGAGTTGGTGGCAGCATGGGCGGCAGCATGGGTGGCAGCATGGGCGGCAGCATGGGAGGCGGGCGGGTGTGTGAGTACCTCCGGGCAGTTTCTGGAAGATGGGGACGAAGACGACACTGGCGAGCAGCAGCCACAGCACGTCAAACAGCTGCGTCTCCTCCTCGTTCGGCTGGTGCAGTGGGGGGGAAGGGGGTTGTGTGGCAAGGAGGTGAGTGAGAAGGAGATGAAGGCAGGCAGTGCAAGGATGAGCATGCAAGGATGAGCATGCAAGGACGGGGGATAGGCAGGTAGAGATCGGACAGGGGATAGGCAGGTAGAGATCGGACAGGGGATAGGCAGGTAGAGATCGGACAGGGGATAGGCAGGTAGAGATCGGACAGGGGATAGGCAGGCAGAGATCGGACGGGGGATAGGCAGGTAGAGATCGGACAGGGGATAGGCAGGTAGAGATCGGACGGGGGATAGGCAGGTAGAGATCGGACGGGGGATAGGCAGGTAGAGATCGGACAGGGGATAGGCAGGTAGAGATCGGACAGGGGATAGGCAGGTAGAGATCGGACAGGGGATAGGCAGGTAGAGATCGGACAGGGGATAGGCAGGTAGAGATCGGACGGGGGATAGGCAGGTAGAGATCGGACAGGGGATAGGCAGGTAGAGATCGGACGGGGGATAGGCAGGTAGAGATCGGACGGGGGATAGGCAGGTAGAGATCGGACGGGGGATAGGCAGGTAGAGATCGGACAGGGGATAGGCAGGTAGAGATCGGACAGGGGATAGGCAGGTAGAGATCGGACAGGGGATAGGCAGGTAGAGATCGGACAGGGGATAGGCAGGTAGAGATCGGACAGGGGATAGGCAGGTAGAGATCGGACAGGGGATAGGCAGGTAGAGATCGGACGGGGGATAGGCAGGTAGAGATCGGACAGGGGATAGGCAGGTAGAGATCGGACAGGGGATAGGCAGGTAGAGATCGGACAGGGGATAGGCAGGTAGAGATCGGACAGGGGATAGGCAGGTAGAGATCGGACAGGGGATAGGCAGGTAGAGTTCGGACAGGGGATAGGCAGGTAGAGATCGGACAGGGGATAGGCAGGTAGAGATCGGACGGGGGATAGGCAGGTAGAGATCGGACAGGGGATAGGCAGGTAGAGATCGGACAGGGGATAGGCAGGTAGAGATCGGACAGGGGATAGGCAGGTAGAGATCGGACAGGGGATAGGCAGGTAGAGATCGGACAGGGGATAGGCATGTAGAGTTCGGACAGGGGATAGGCAGGTAGAGATCGGACAGGGGATAGGCAGGTAGAGATCGGACAGGGGATAGGCAGGTAGAGATCGGACAGGGGATAGGCAGGTAGAGATCGGACAGGGGATAGGCAGGTAGAGTTCGGACAGGGGATAGGCAGGTAGAGATCGGACAGGGGATAGGCAGGTAGAGATCGGACAGGGGATAGGCAGGTAGAGATCGGACAGGGGATAGGCAGGTAGAGATCGGACAGGGGATAGGCAGGTAGAGATCGGACAGGGGATAGGCAGGTAGAGATCGGACAGGGGATAGGCAGGTAGAGATCGGACAGGGGATAGGCAGGTAGAGATCGGACAGGGGATAGGCAGGTAGAGATCGGACAGGGGATAGGCAGGTAGAGATCGGACAGGGGATAGGCAGGTAGAAATCGGACAGGGGATAGGCAGGTAGAGATCGGACAGGGGATAGGCAGGTAGAGATCGGACAGGGGATAGGCAGGTAGAGATCGGACAGGGGATAGGCAGGTAGAGATCGGACAGGGGATAGGCAGGTAGAGATCGGACGGGGGATAGGCAGGTAGAGATCGGACAGGGGATAGGCAGGTAGAGATCGGACAGGGGATAGGCAGGTAGAGATCGGACAGGGGATAGGCAGGTAGAGATCGGACAGGGGATAGGCAGGTAGAGATCGGACAGGGGATAGGCAGGTAGAGATCGGACAGGGGATAGGCAGGTAGAGATCGGACAGGGGATAGGCAGGTAGAGATCGGACAGGGGATAGGCAGGTAGAGTTCGGACAGGGGATAGGCAGGTAGAGATCGGACAGGGGATAGGCAGGTAGAGATCGGACGGGGGATAGGCAGGTAGAGATCGGACAGGGGATAGGCAGGTAGAGATCGGACGGGGGATAGGCAGGTAGAGATCGGACAGGGGATAGGCAGGAAGAGATCGGACAGGGGATAGGCAGGTAGAGATCGGACAGGGGATAGGCAGGTAGAGATCGGACGGGGGATAGGCAGGTAGAGATCGGACAGGGGATAGGCAGGTAGAGATCGGACAGGGGATAGGCAGGTAGAGATCGGACAGGGGATAGGCAGGTAGAGATCGGACAGGGGATAGGCAGGTAGAGATCGGACAGGGGATAGGCAGGTAGAGATCGGACAGGGGATAGGCAGGTAGAGATCGGACAGGGGATAGGCAGGTAGAGTTCGGACAGGGGATAGGCAGGTAGAGATCGGACAGGGGATAGGCAGGTAGAGATCGGACGGGGGATAGGCAGGTGGAGATCGGACAGGGGATAGGCAGGTAGAGATCGGACAGGGGATAGGCAGGTAGAGATCGGACAGGGGATAGGCAGGTAGAGATCGGACAGGGGATAGGCAGGTAGAGATCGGACAGGGGATAGGCAGGTAGAGATCGGACAGGGGATAGGCAGGTAGAGATCGGACAGGGGATAGGCAGGTAGAGATCGGACAGGGGATAGGCAGGTAGAGATCGGACAGGGGATAGGCAGGTAGAGATCGGACAGGGGATAGGCAGGTAGAGATCGGACAGGGGATAGGCAGGTAGAGATCGGACAGGGGATAGGCAGGTAGAGATCGGACAGGGGATAGGCAGGTAGAGATCGGACAGGGGATAGGCAGGTAGAGATCGGACAGGGGATAGGCAGGTAGAGATCGGACAGGGGATAGGCAGGTAGAGATCGGACAGGGGATAGGCAGGTAGAGATCGGACAGGGGATAGGCAGGTAGAGATCGGACAGGGGATAGGCAGGTAGAGATCGGACAGGGGATAGGCAGGTAGAGATCGGACAGGGGATAGGCAGGTAGAGTTCGGACAGGGGATAGGCAGGTAGAGATAGGACAGGGGATAGGCAGGTAGAGATCGGACGGGGGATAGGCAGGTAGAGATCGGACAGGGGATAGGCAGGTAGAGATCGGACGGGGGATAGGCAGGTAGAGATCGGACAGGGGATAGGCAGGAAGTGATCGGACAGGGGATAGGCAGGTAGAGATCGGACAGGGGATAGGCAGGTAGAGATCGGACGGGGGATAGGCAGGTAGAGATCGGACAGGGGATAGGCAGGTAGAGATCGGACAGGGGATAGGCAGGTAGAGATCGGACAGGGGATAGGCAGGTAGAGATCGGACAGGGGATAGGCAGGTAGAGATCGGACAGGGGATAGGCAGGTAGAGATCGGACAGGGGATAGGCAGGTAGAGATCGGACAGGGGATAGGCAGGTAGAGATCGGACAGGGGATAGGCAGGTAGAGATCGGACAGGGGATAGGCAGGTAGAGATCGGACAGGGGATAGGCAGGTAGAGTTCGGACAGGGGATAGGCAGGTAGAGATCGGACAGGGGATAGGCAGGTAGAGATCGGACGGGGGATAGGCAGGTAGAGATCGGACAGGGGATAGGCAGGTAGAGATCGGACAGGGGATAGGCAGGTAGAGATCGGACAGGGGATAGGCAGGTAGAGATCGGACAGGGGATAGGCAGGTAGAGATCGGACAGGGGATAGGCAGGTAGAGATCGGACAGGGGATAGGCAGGTAGAGATCGGACGGGGGATAGGCAGGTAGAGATCGGACAGGGGATAGGCAGGTAGAGATCGGACAGGGGATAGGCAGGTAGAGATCGGACAGGGGATAGGCAGGTAGAGATCGGACAGGGGATAGGCAGGTAGAGATCGGACAGGGGATAGGCAGGTAGAAATCGGACGGGGGATAGGCAGGTAGAGATCGGACAGGGGATAGGCAGGTAGAGATCGGACAGGGGATAGGCAGGTAGAGATCGGACAGGGGATAGGCAGGTAGAGATCGGACAGGGGATAGGCAGGTAGAGATCGGACGGGGGATAGGCAGGTAGAGATCGGACAGGGGATAGGCAGGTAGAGATCGGACAGGGGATAGGCAGGTAGAGATCGGACAGGGGATAGGCAGGTAGAGATCGGACAGGGGATAGGCAGGTAGAGATCGGACAGGGGATAGGCAGGTAGAGATCGGACAGGGGATAGGCAGGTAGAGATCGGACAGGGGATAGGCAGGTAGAGATCGGACAGGGGATAGGCAGGTAGAGTTCGGACAGGGGATAGGCAGGTAGAGATCGGACAGGGGATAGGCAGGTAGAGATCGGACGGGGGATAGGCAGGTAGAGATCGGACAGGGGATAGGCAGGTAGAGATCGGACGGGGGATAGGCAGGTAGAGATCGGACAGGGGATAGGCAGGAAGAGATCGGACAGGGGATAGGCAGGTAGAGATCGGACAGGGGATAGGCAGGTAGAGATCGGACGGGGGATAGGCAGGTAGAGATCGGACAGGGGATAGGCAGGTAGAGATCGGACAGGGGATAGGCAGGTAGAGATCGGACAGGGGATAGGCAGGTAGAGATCGGACAGGGGATAGGCAGGTAGAGATCGGACAGGGGATAGGCAGGTAGAGATCGGACAGGGGATAGGCAGGTAGAGATCGGACAGGGGATAGGCAGGTAGAGTTCGGACAGGGGATAGGCAGGTAGAGATCGGACAGGGGATAGGCAGGTAGAGATCGGACGGGGGATAGGCAGGTGGAGATCGGACAGGGGATAGGCAGGTAGAGATCGGACAGGGGATAGGCAGGTAGAGATCGGACAGGGGATAGGCAGGTAGAGATCGGACAGGGGATAGGCAGGTAGAGATCGGACAGGGGATAGGCAGGTAGAGATCGGACAGGGGATAGGCAGGTAGAGATCGGACAGGGGATAGGCAGGTAGAGATCGGACAGGGGATAGGCAGGTAGAGTTCGGACAGGGGATAGGCAGGTAGAGATAGGACAGGGGATAGGCAGGTAGAGATCGGACGGGGGATAGGCAGGTAGAGATCGGACAGGGGATAGGCAGGTAGAGATCGGACGGGGGATAGGCAGGTAGAGATCGGACAGGGGATAGGCAGGAAGAGATCGGACAGGGGATAGGCAGGTAGAGATCGGACAGGGGATAGGCAGGTAGAGATCGGACGGGGGATAGGCAGGTAGAGATCGGACAGGGGATAGGCAGGTAGAGATCGGACAGGGGATAGGCAGGTAGAGATCGGACAGGGGATAGGCAGGTAGAGATCGGACAGGGGATAGGCAGGTAGAGATCGGACAGGGGATAGGCAGGTAGAGATCGGACAGGGGATAGGCAGGTAGAGATCGGACAGGGGATAGGCAGGTAGAGATCGGACAGGGGATAGGCAGGTAGAGATCGGACAGGGGATAGGCAGGTAGAGATCGGACAGGGGATAGGCAGGTAGAGTTCGGACAGGGGATAGGCAGGTAGAGATCGGACAGGGGATAGGCAGGTAGAGATCGGACGGGGGATAGGCAGGTAGAGATCGGACAGGGGATAGGCAGGTAGAGATCGGACAGGGGATAGGCAGGTAGAGATCGGACAGGGGATAGGCAGGTAGAGATCGGACAGGGGATAGGCAGGTAGAGATCGGACAGGGGATAGGCAGGTAGAGATCGGACAGGGGATAGGCAGGTAGAGATCGGACGGGGATAGGCAGGTAGAGATCGGACAGGGGATAGGCAGGTAGAGATCGGACGGGGGATAGGCAGGTAGAGATCGGACAGGGGATAGGCAGGTAGAGATCGGACAGGGGATAGGCAGGTAGAGATCGGACGGCGGATAGGCAGGTAGAGATCGGACAGGGGATAGGCAGGTAGAGATCGGACGGGGGATAGGCAGGTAGATATCGGACAGGGGATAGGCAGGTAGAGATCGGACAGGGGATAGGCAGGTAGAGATCGGACAGGGGATAGGCAGCTAGAGATCGGACAGGGGATAGGCAGGTAGAGATCGGACAGGGGATAGGCAGGTAGAGATCGGACGGGGGATAGGCAGGTAGAGATCGGACGGGGGATAGGCAGGTAGAGATCGGACAGGGGATAGGCAGGTAGAGATCGGACAGGGGATAGGCAGGTAGAGATCGGACAGGGGATAGGCAGGTAGAGATCGGACAGGGGATAGGCAGGTAGAGATCGGACAGGGGATAGGCAGGTAGAGATCGGACAGGGGATAGGCAGGTAGAGATCGGACAGGGGATAGGCAGGTAGAGATCGGACGGGGGATAGGCAGGTAGAGATCGGACAGGGGATAGGCAGGTAGAGATCGGACGGGGGATAGGCAGGTAGAGATCGGACAGGGGATAGGCAGGTAGAGATCGGACAGGGGATAGGCAGGTAGAGATCGGACAGGGGATAGGCAGGTAGAGATCGGACAGGGGATAGGCAGGTAGAGATCGGACAGGGGATAGGCAGGTAGAGATCGGACAGGGGATAGGCAGGTAGAGATCGGACAGGGGATAGGCAGGTAGAGATCGGACAGGGGATAGGCAGGTAGAGATCGGACAGGGGATAGGCAGGTAGAGTTCGGACAGGGGATAGGCAGGTAGAGATCGGACAGGGGATAGGCAGGTAGAGATCGGACGGGGGATAGGCAGGTAGAGATCGGACAGGGGATAGGCAGGTAGAGATCGGACGGGGGATAGGCAGGTAGAGATCGGACAGGGGATAGGCAGGAAGAGATCGGACAGGGGATAGGCAGGTAGAGATCGGACAGGGGATAGGCAGGTAGAGATCGGACGGGGGATAGGCAGGTAGAGATCGGACAGGGGATAGGCAGGTAGAGATCGGACAGGGGATAGGCAGGTAGAGATCGGACAGGGGATAGGCAGGTAGAGATCGGACAGGGGATAGGCAGGTAGAGATCGGACAGGGGATAGGCAGGTAGAGATCGGACAGGGGATAGGCAGGTAGAGATCGGACAGGGGATAGGCAGGTAGAGTTCGGACAGGGGATAGGCAGGTAGAGATCGGACAGGGGATAGGCAGGTAGAGATCGGACGGGGGATAGGCAGGTGGAGATCGGACAGGGGATAGGCAGGTAGAGATCGGACAGGGGATAGGCAGGTAGAGATCGGACAGGGGATAGGCAGGTAGAGATCGGACAGGGGATAGGCAGGTAGAGATCGGACAGGGGATAGGCAGGTAGAGATCGGACAGGGGATAGGCAGGTAGAGATCGGACAGGGGATAGGCAGGTAGAGATCGGACAGGGGATAGGCAGGTAGAGTTCGGACAGGGGATAGGCAGGTAGAGATAGGACAGGGGATAGGCAGGTAGAGATCGGACGGGGGATAGGCAGGTAGAGATCGGACAGGGGATAGGCAGGTAGAGATCGGACGGGGGATAGGCAGGTAGAGATCGGACAGGGGATAGGCAGGAAGAGATCGGACAGGGGATAGGCAGGTAGAGATCGGACAGGGGATAGGCAGGTAGAGATCGGACGGGGGATAGGCAGGTAGAGATCGGACAGGGGGATAGGCAGGTAGAGATCGGACAGGGGATAGGCAGGTAGAGATCGGACAGGGGATAGGCAGGTAGAGATCGGACAGGGGATAGGCAGGTAGAGATCGGACAGGGGATAGGCAGGTAGAGATCGGACAGGGGATAGGCAGGTAGAGATCGGACAGGGGATAGGCAGGTAGAGATCGGACAGGGGATAGGCAGGTAGAGATCGGACAGGGGATAGGCAGGTAGAGATCGGACAGGGGATAGGCAGGTAGAGATCGGACAGGGGATAGGCAGGTAGAGTTCGGACAGGGGATAGGCAGGTAGAGATCGGACAGGGGATAGGCAGGTAGAGATCGGACGGGGGATAGGCAGGTAGAGATCGGACAGGGGATAGGCAGGTAGAGATCGGACAGGGGATAGGCAGGTAGAGATCGGACAGGGGATAGGCAGGTAGAGATCGGACAGGGGATAGGCAGGTAGAGATCGGACAGGGGATAGGCAGGTAGAGATCGGACAGGGGATAGGCAGGTAGAGATCGGACGGGGGATAGGCAGGTAGAGATCGGACAGGGGATAGGCAGGTAGAGATCGGACGGGGGATAGGCAGGTAGAGATCGGACAGGGGATAGGCAGGTAGAGATCGGACAGGGGATAGGCAGGTAGAGATCGGACGGCGGATAGGCAGGTAGAGATCGGACAGGGGATAGGCAGGTAGAGATCGGACGGGGGATAGGCAGGTAGATATCGGACAGGGGATAGGCAGGTAGAGATCGGACAGGGGATAGGCAGGTAGAGATCGGACAGGGGATAGGCAGCTAGAGATCGGACAGGGGATAGGCAGGTAGAGATCGGACAGGGGATAGGCAGGTAGAGATCGGACGGGGGATAGGCAGGTAGAGATCGGACGGGGGATAGGCAGGTAGAGATCGGACAGGGGATAGGCAGGTAGAGATCGGACAGGGGATAGGCAGGTAGAGATCGGACAGGGGATAGGCAGGTAGAGATCGGACAGGGGATAGGCAGGTAGAGATCGGACAGGGGATAGGCAGGTAGAGATCGGACAGGGGATAGGCAGGTAGAGATCGGACAGGGGATAGGCAGGTAGAGATCGGACAGGGGGATAGGCAGGTAGAGATCGGACAGGGGATAGGCAGGTAGAGATCGGACGGGGGATAGGCAGGTAGAGATCGGACAGGGGATAGGCAGGTAGAGATCGGACAGGGGATAGGCAGGTAGAGATCGGACAGGGGATAGGCAGGTAGAGATCGGACAGGGGATAGGCAGGTAGAGATCGGACAGGGGATAGGCAGGTAGAGATCGGACAGGGGATAGGCAGGTAGAGATCGGACAGGGGATAGGCAGGTAGAGATCGGACAGGGGAATAGGCAGGTAGAGATCGGACAGGGGATAGGCAGGTAGAGATCGGACAGGGGATAGGCAGGTAGAGATCGGACAGGGGATAGGCAGGTAGAGATCGGACAGGGGATAGGCAGGTAGAGATCGGACAGGGGATAGGCAGGTAGAGATCGGACAGGGGGATAGGCAGGTAGAGATCGGACAGGGGATAGGCAGGTAGAGATCGGACAGGGGATAGGCAGGTAGAGATCGGACAGGGGATAGGCAGGTAGAGATCGGACAGGGGATAGGCAGGTAGAGATCGGACAGGGGATAGGCAGGTAGAGATCGGACAGGGGATAGGCAGGTAGAGATCGGACAGGGGATAGGCAGGTAGAGATCGGACAGGGGATAGGCAGGTAGAGATCGGACAGGGGATAGGCAGGTAGAGATCGGACAGGGGGATAGGCAGGTAGAGATCGGACAGGGGGATAGGCAGGTAGAGATCGGACAGGGGATAGGCAGGTAGAGATCGGACGGGGGATAGGCAGGTAGAGATCGGACAGGGGATAGGCAGGTAGAGATCGGACAGGGGATAGGCAGGTAGAGATCGGACAGGGGATAGGCAGGTAGAGATCGGACAGGGGATAGGCAGGTAGAGATCGGACAGGGGATAGGCAGGTAGAGATCGGACAGGGGATAGGCAGGTAGAGATCGGACAGGGGATAGGCAGGTAGAGATCGGACAGGGGATAGGCAGGTAGAGATCGGACAGGGGATAGGCAGGTAGAGATCGGACAGGGGATAGGCAGGTAGAGATCGGACGGGGGATAGGCAGGTAGAGATCGGACAGCGGATAGGCAGAGAGATCGCGACAGGGGATAGGCAGGTAGAGATCGGACAGGGGATAGGCAGGTAGAGACTCGGACAGGGGATAGGCAGGTAGAGATCGGACAGGGGAATAGGCAGGTAGATATCGGACAGGGGATAGGCAGGTAGAGATCGGACAGGGGATAGGCAGGTAGAGATCGGGACAGGGGATAGGCAGGTAGAGATCGGACAGGGGATAGGCAGGTAGAGATCGGACAGGGGATAGGCAGGTAGAGATCGGACGGGGGATAGGCAGGTAGAGATCGGACAGGGGATAGGCAGGTAGAGATCGGACAGGGGATAGGCAGGTAGAGATCGGACAGGGGATAGGCAGGTAGAGATCGGACAGGGGATAGGCAGGTAGAGATCGGACAGGGGATAGGCAGGTAGAGATCGGACAGGGGATAGGCAGGTAGAGATCGGACAGGGGATAGGCAGGTAGAGATCGGACAGGGGATAGGCAGGTAGAGATCGGACAGGGGATAGGCAGGTAGAGATCGGACAGGGGATAGGCAGGTAGAGATCGGACAGGGGATAGGCAGGGTAGAGATCGGACGGGGGATAGGCAGTAGAGATCGACAGGTGATAGCAGGTAGAGATCGGACAGGGGGATAGGCAGGTAGAGGATCGGACAGGGGATAGGCAGTAGAGATCGGACAGGGGATAGGCAGGTAGAGTACGGAAGGGATAGGCAGGTGAGATCGGACGGAGGGATAGGCAGGTAGAGATCGGACAGGGGATAGGCAGGTAGAGATCGACGGGGATAGGCAGGTAGATATCGGACAGGGGGATAGGCAGGTAGAGATCGGACAGGGGATAGGCAGGTAGAGATGGACAGGGGGATAGGCAGGTAGAGATCGGACAGGGGATAGGCAGGTAGAGATCGGACAGGGGATAGCGCAGGTAGAGATCGGACGGGGGATAGGCAGGTAGAGATCGGACAGGGGATAGGCAGGTAGAGATCGGACAGGGGATAGGCAGGTAGAGATCGGACAGGGGATAGGCAGGTAGAGATCGACAGGGGGATTAGGCAGGGGATAGGCAGGTAGAGATCGGACAGGGGATAGGCAGGTAGAGATCGGACAGGGGATAGGCAGGTAGAGATCGGACAGGGGATAGGCAGGTAGAGATCGGACAGGGGATAGGCAGGTAGAGATTCGGACAGGGGATAGGCAGGTAGAGATCGGACAGGGGATAGGCAGGTAGAGATCGGACAGGGGATAGGCAGGTAGAGATCGGACAGGGGATAGGCAGGTAGAGATCGGACAGGGGATAGGCAGGTAGAGATCGGACAGGGGATAGGCAGGTAGAGATCGGACAGGGGATAGGCAGGTAGAGATCGGACAGGGGATAGGCAGGTAGAGATCGGACAGGGGATAGGCAGGTTAGAGATCGGACAGGGATAGGCAGGTAGAGATCGGACAGGGGATAGGCAGGTAGAGATCGGACAGGGGATAGGCAGGTAGAGATCGGACAGGGGATAGGCAGGTAGAGATCGGACAGGGGATAGGCAGGTAGAGATCGGACAGGGGATAGGCAGGTAGAGATCGGACAGGGGATAGGCAGGTAGAGATCGGACAGGGGATAGGCAGGTAGAGATCGGACAGGGGATAGGCAGGTAGAGATCGGACAGGGGATAGGCAGGTAGAGATCGGACAGGGGATAGGCAGGTAGAGATCGGACAGGGGATAGGCAGGTAGAGATCGGACAGGGGATAGGCAGGTAGAGATCGGACGGGGGATAGGCAGGTAGAGATCGGACAGGGGATAGGCAGGTAGAGATCGGACAGGGGATAGGCAGGTAGAGATCGGACAGGGGATAGGCAGGTAGAGATCGGACAGGGGATAGGCAGGTAGAGATCGGACAGGGGATAGGCAGGTAGAGATCGGACAGGGGATAGGCAGGTAGAGATCGGACAGGGGATAGGCAGGTAGAGATCGGACAGGGGATAGGCAGGTAGAGATCGGACAGGGGATAGGCAGGTAGAGATCGACAGGGGGTAGGCAGGTAGAGATCGGGATAGGCAGGTAGAGATCGGACAGGGGATAGGCAGGTAGAGATCGGACAGGGGATAGGCAGGTAGAGATCGGACAGGGGATAGGCAGGTAGAGATCGGACAGGGGATAGGCAGGTAGAGATCGGACAGGGGATAGGCAGGTAGAGATCGGACAGGGGATAGGCAGGTAGAGATCGGACAGGGGATAGGCAGGTAGAGATCGGACAGGGGATAGGCAGGTAGAGATCGGACAGGGATAGGCAGGTAGAGATCGGACAGGGGATAGGCAGGTAGAGATCGGACAGGGGATAGGCAGGTAGAGATCGGACGGGGGATAGGCAGGTAGAGATCGGACAGGGGATAGGCAGGTAGAGATCGGACAGGGGATAGGCAGGTTAGAGATCGGACAGGGGATAGGCAGGTAGAGATCGGACAGGGGGATAGGCAGGTAGAGATCGGACAGGGGATAGGCAGGTAGAGATCGGACAGGGGATAGGCAGGTAGAGATCGGACAGGGGATAGGCAGGTAGAGATCGGACAGGGGATAGGCAGGTAGAGATCGGACAGGGGATAGGCAGGTAGAGATCGGACAGGGGATAGGCAGGTAGAGATCGGACAGGGGATAGGCAGGTAGAGATCGGACAGGGATAGGCAGGTAGAGATCGGACGGGGGATAGGCAGGTAGAGATCGGGACAGGGGATAGGCAGGTAGAGATCGGACAGGGGATAGGCAGGTAGAGATCGGACAGGGGATAGGCAGGTAGAGATCGGACATGGGATAGGCAGGTAGAGATCGGACAGGGGATAGGCAGGTAGAGATTCGACAGGGATAGGCAGGTAGAGATCGGACAGGGGATAGGCAGGTAGAGATCGGACAGGGGATAGGCAGGTAGAGATCGGACAGGGGATAGGCAGGTAGAGATCGGACAGGGGATAGGCAGGTAGAGATCGGACAGGGGATAGGCAGGTAGAGATCTGACAGGGGATAGGCAGGTAGAGATCGGACAGGGGATAGGCAGGTAGAGATCGGACAGGGGATAGGCAGGTAGAGATCGGACAGGGGATAGGCAGGTAGAGATCGGACAGGGGATAGGCAGGTAGAGATCGGACAGGGGATAGGCAGGTAGAGATCGGACAGGGGATAGGCAGGTAGAGATCGGACAGGGGATAGGCAGGTAGAGATCGGACAGGGGGATAGGCAGGTAGAGATCGGACAGGGGATAGCAGGTTAGAGATCGGACAGGGATAGGCAGGTAGAGATCGGACAGGGGATAGGCAGGTAGAGATCGGACGGGGATAGGCAGGTAGAGATCGGACAGGGGATAGGCAGGTAGAGATCGGACAGGGGATAGGCAGGTAGAGATCGGACAGGGGATAGGCAGGTAGAGATCGGACAGGGGATAGGCAGGTAGAGATCGGACAGGGGATAGGCAGGTAGAGATCGGACAGGGGATAGGCAGGTAGAGATCGGACAGGGGATAGGCAGGTAGAGATCGGACAGGGGATAGGCAGGTAGAGATCGGACAGGGGATAGGCAGGTAGAGATCGGACAGGGGATAGGCAGGTAGAGATCGGACAGGGGATAGGCAGGTAGAGATCGGACAGGGGATAGGCAGGTAGAGATCGGACAGGGGATAGGCAGGTAGAGATCGGACGGGGGATAGGCAGGTAGAGATCGGACAGGGGATAGGCAGGTAGAGATCGGACAGGGGATAGGCAGGTAGAGATCGGACAGGGGATAGGCAGGTAGAGATCGGACAGGGGATAGGCAGGTAGAGATCGGACAGGGGATAGGCAGGTAGAGATCGGACAGGGGATAGGCAGGTAGAGATCGGACAGGGGATAGGCAGGTAGAGATCGGACAGGGGATAGGCAGGTAGAGATCGGACGGGGGATAGGCAGGTAGAGATCGGACAGGGGATAGGCAGGTAGAGATCGGACAGGGGATAGGCAGGTAGAGATCGGACAGGGGATAGGCAGGTAGAGATCGGACAGGGGATAGGCAGGTAGAGATCGGACAGGGGATAGGCAGGTAGAGATCGGACAGGGGATAGGCAGGTAGAGATCGGACAGGGGATAGGCAGGTAGAGATCGGACAGGGGATAGGCAGGTAGAGATCGGACAGGGGATAGGCAGGTAGAGATCGGACAGGGGATAGGCAGGTAGAGATCGGACAGGGGATAGGCAGGTAGAGATCGGACAGGGGTATAGGCAGGTAGAGATCGGACAGGGGATAGGCAGGTAGAGATCGGGACAGGGGATAGGCAGGTAGAGATCGGACAGGGGATAGGCAGGTAGAGATCGGACGGGGGATAGGCAGGTAGAGATCGGACAGGGGATAGGCAGGTAGAGATCGGACAGGGGATAGGCAGTAGGCAGGTTAGAGATCGGACAGGGGATAGGCAGGTAGAGATCGGACAGGGGATAGGCAGGTAGAGATCGGACAGGGGATAGGCAGGTAGAGATCGGACAGGGGATAGGCAGGTAGAGATCGGACAGGGGATAGGCAGGTAGAGATCGGACAGGGGGATAGGCAGGTAGAGATCGGACAGGGGATAGGCAGGTAGAGATCGGACAGGGGATAGGCAGGTAGAGATCGGACAGGGGATAGGCAGGTAGAGATCGGACAGGGGATAGGCAGGTAGAGATCGGACAGGGGATAGGCAGGTAGAGATCGGACAGGGGATAGGCAGGTAGAGATCGGACAGGGGATAGGCAGGTAGAGATCGGACAGGGGATAGGCAGGTAGAGATCGGACAGGGGATAGGCAGGTAGAGATCGGACAGGGGGATAGGCAGGTAGAGATCGGACAGGGGATAGGGCAGGTAGAGATCGGACGGGGGATAGGCAGGTAGAGATCGGACAGGGGATAGGCAGGTAGAGATCGGACAGGGGATAGGCAGGTAGAGATCGGACAGGGGATAGGCAGGTAGAGATCGGACAGGGGATAGGCAGGTAGAGATCGGACAGGGGATAGGCAGGTAGAGATCGGACAGGGGATAGGCAGGTAGAGATCGGACAGGGGATAGGCAGGTAGAGATCGGACGGGGGATAGGCAGGTAGAGATCGGACAGGGGATAGGCAGGTAGAGATCGGACAGGGGATAGGCAGGTAGAGATCGGACAGGGGATAGGCAGGTAGAGATCGGACAGGGGATAGGCAGGTAGAGATCGGACAGGGGATAGGCAGGTAGAGATCGGACAGGGGATAGGCAGGTAGAGATCGGACAGGGGATAGGCAGGTAGAGATCGGACAGGGGATAGGCAGGTAGAGATCGGACAGGGGATAGGCAGGTAGAGATCGGACAGGGGATAGGCAGGTAGAGATCGGACGGGGGATAGGCAGGTAGAGATCGGACAGGGGATAGGCAGGTAGAGATCGGACAGGGGATAGGCAGGTAGAGATCGGACAGGGGATAGGCAGGTAGAGATCGGACAGGGGATAGGCAGGTAGAGATCGGACAGGGGATAGGCAGGTAGAGATCGGACAGGGGATAGGCAGGTAGAGATCGGACAGGGGATAGGCAGGGTAGAGATCGGACGGGGGATAGGCAGGTAGAGATCGGACAGGGGATAGGCAGGTAGAGATCGGACAGGGGATAGGCAGGTAGAGATCGGACAGGGGATAGGCAGGTAGAGATCGGACAGGGGATAGGCAGGTAGAGATCGGACAGGGGATAGGCAGGTAGAGATCGGACAGGGGATAGGCAGGTAGAGATCGGACAGGGGATAGGCAGGTAGAGATCGGACAGGGGATAGGCAGGTAGAGATCGGACAGGGGATAGGCAGGTAGAGATCGGACAGGGGATAGGCAGGTAGAGATCGGAGGGTAGCAGGTAGATCCAGGGGATAGGCAGGTAGAGATCGGACGGGGATAGGCAGGTAGAGATCGGACAGGGGATAGGCAGGTAGAGATCGGACAGGGGATAGGCAGGTAGAGATCGGACAGGGGATAGGCAGGTAGAGATCGGACAGGGGATAGGCAGGTAGAGATCGGACAGGGGATAGGCAGGTAGAGATCGGACAGGGGATAGGCAGGTAGAGATCGGACAGGGGATAGGCAGGTAGAGATCGGACAGGGGGATAGGCAGGTAGAGATCGGACAGGGGATAGGCAGGTAGAGATCGGACAGGGGATAGGCAGGTAGAGATCGGACAGGGGATAGGCAGGTAGAGATCGGACAGGGGATAGGCAGGTAGAGATCGGACAGGGGATAGGCAGGTAGAGATCGGACAGGGGATAGGCAGGTAGAGATCGGACAGGGGATAGGCAGGTAGAGATCGGACAGGGGATAGGCAGGTAGAGATCGGACAGGGGATAGGCAGGTAGAGATCGGACAGGGGATAGGCAGGTAGAGATCGGACAGGGGATAGGCAGGTAGAGATCGGACAGGGGATAGGCAGGTAGAGATCGGACAGGGGGATAGGCAGGTAGAGATCGGACAGGGGATAGGCAGGTAGAGATCGGACAGGGGATAGGCAGGTAGAGATCGGACAGGGGATAGGCAGGTAGAGATCGGACAGGGGAGCGGATAGGCAGGTAGAGATCGGACAGGGGATAGGCAGGTAGAGATCGGACAGGGGATAGGCAGGTAGAGATCGGACAGGGGATAGGCAGGTAGAGATCGGACAGGGGATAGGCAGGTAGAGATCGGACAGGGGATAGGCAGGTAGAGATCGGACAGGGGATAGGCAGGTAGATGGACGGGGGATAGGCAGGTAGAGATCGGACAGGGGATAGGCAGGTAGAGATCGGACAGGGGATAGGCAGGTAGAGATCGGACAGGGGATAGGCAGGTAGAGATCGGACAGGGGATAGGCAGGTAGAGATCGGACAGGGGATAGGCAGGTAGAGATCGGACAGGGGATAGGCAGGTAGAGATCGGACAGGGGATAGGCAGGTAGAGATCGGACAGGGGGATAGGCAGGTAGAGATCGGACAGGGGATAGGCAGGTAGAGATCGGACAGGGGATAGGCAGGTAGAGATCGGACAGGGGATAGGCAGGTAGAGATCGGACAGGGGATAGGCAGGTAGAGATCGGACAGGGGATAGGCAGGTAGAGATCGGACAGGGGATAGGCAGGTAGAGATCGGACAGGGGATAGGCAGGTAGAGATCGGACAGGGGATAGGCAGGTAGAGATCGGACGGGGATAGGCAGGTAGAGATCGGACAGGGGATAGGCAGGTAGAGATCGGACAGGGGATAGGCAGGTAGAGATCGGACAGGGGATAGGCAGGTAGAGATCGGACAGGGGATAGGCAGGTAGAGATCGGACAGGGGATAGGCAGGTAGAGATCGGACAGGGGATAGGCAGGTAGAGATCGGACAGGGGATAGGCAGGTAGAGATCGGACAGGGGATAGGCAGGTAGAGATCGGACAGGGGATAGGCAGGTAGAGATCGGAAGGGATAGGCAGGTAGGATCGGACAGGGGATAGGCAGGTAGAGATCGGACAGGGGATAGGCAGGTAGAGATCGGACAGGGGATAGGCAGGTAGAGATCGGACAGGGGATAGGCAGGTAGAGATCGGACAGGGGATAGGCAGGTAGAGATCGGACAGGGGATAGGCAGGTAGAGATCGGACAGGGGATAGGCAGGTAGAGATCGGACAGGGGATAGGCAGGTAGAGATTCGGACAGGGGATAGGCAGGTAGAGATCGGACAGGGGATAGGCAGGTAGAGATCGGACAGGGGATAGGCAGGTAGAGATCGGACAGGGGATAGGCAGGTAGAGATCGGACAGGGGATAGGCAGGTAGAGATCGGACAGGGGATAGGCAGGTAGAGATCGGACAGGGGTATAGGCAGGTAGAGATCGGACAGGGGATAGGCAGGTAGAGATCGGACAGGGGATAGGGCAGGTAGAGATCGGACAGGGGATAGGCAGGTAGAGATCGGACAGGTGCGATAGGCAGGTAGAGATCGGACAGGGGATAGGCAGGTAGAGATCGGACAGGGGATAGGCAGGTAGAGAT